CCCTTCAGGAACCTTTTTGGTCTCTTTCCTCCTGGCACCACCTACTGGGACCATTTGTTCTTCCAGACCGGTATCTGATTCCTCCTTTTGTCTCCCTGGGTCCCCTACCCCTTCAGCGCCAGCCACCTCATGCCAAGGATACACAGGTGGAGGGCACTGGGGACCAAGGTTTCCTGGGGGCCATTCATTCTCCACATGTTCCAGAAGAACTGTGGAAGGGGCACTAGGTTTCTTGAGAGTCCTTTTTTTCTCTCCACACATTAGCATCAATTTGCACCCACACTCTTCTAATAACATAGGACTGTTGTCTAGTTCAGTAAAAAAATTCAGGTATTGTATCTCAGTCTGTCTCTCCTTTTCCTTCAAAACTGTCTTTAATTCTCTGATCAGATGACTGTCCACTGACCCATGTAGGGGACAGAAATCACCTGGTCATAACAATCTCTCATGGGGCCACACTGACATACAATAAGAGCAACTTTCGTGCCAATCCGCCCCCCTCCTAATTCTCGGAAATTTGCTAAAATACTGTGGGCACCGATGACAGAGACCCCCCTTTTACTGTTTCAGTTTTAGATTTGTTATCTGAGATTTTTCCTCTTTTTCCCTTGCCTCTTGGAGGTTTATTACCCATCCTTGTGACTATTTCTCAGGGGCCTTCCTAAGAGTGTTGTAGTCCTTCCACCCTGGACTTCCCACCTTACAACCCCTGGGGGCATCCCCCGCAATAGTCTGCACCTTGTCTTGTAGATGGTCAAGTTTGACCACGCAACCTGAGGAAGCCTGTTTTTTGTTTCCAATGTCTTCCTCCACAGTGGAATTGTCCACACCTTGATTTTTCTGGGCTTTGACCTTTGAGTCCCACACTGTCCAGGGACTTATCTCAGGACCAAGTCCAAAAGTAGGCAGTTTATGGCCATTCAGTCACCCTTTCTCTGAGCCAGTATGGCATGTGTGTCCACTCCAGGAGCCCTTGCTATTTAAGTTCCCCGGTCACAGCTCAGACAAGCTCACGAGGACTTAAGGGCAGCTGCCCTGGAAGAACGCACAGCCAAGGTACCTGGCCGGATATAATTCTTAGGAACCATTGGCTCTGCTCTCAACTGCCAACTTACGTGACCTGGAGGCCTCCCCTTCGATTTGTCCCTCAGGCAGTGGTGGATCCAAGCGTGTTTGCCCACATTCTCCACCAAACTGTTGTCCCCCAAACTGGGCTCTTGCTTGGTGTTGAAGCTGATAAGTCACTGGAAACAAGTTATGGTACAAAACTATGCTTTTATTTTGGTACCAAGATACAAGGACCTTGGTTCAAAAGCTAACCAAAGGCCCCAATTACAATCTTACAGCAATTTTTATAGTCAAGGGGTGGTTGCATTCAGCCCTTTGCCCTTCCCCCCATAATGTATGCATAACAGATAATATTGATTGGTTATTTGGATCTCAGCCCCCTACATAGCTAAATGTCGCATCTGTTTTTCACCCCAGGTCATGGGTATCTTGCAAAGTGTCCTAGTTTCACGTGCCAGCTATGTGGTTTTTGGGGTTTTTCATGTAAACAAGCTATTCTTGTCCCTAATATCCTGGCTAGTGGTTTAAGGTGTTAAACTTCTGCCTCACTAAGAATGTGCGGTTCCAACCCCTTTCCTATTGCAGAGCAGTTCAAGGTAGCATCCCCACCCCCCCACAACCTCTCTTTCCGCAGAGAAAAGTAAAAGTTTTAAATCTTTGTGTGAGGCAGCACCCCCCACCCCCGCTCCCCCCTTCCTTCTGTAGAGAGGGACAGGAAGGAGCAAGGCTGCTTAAGGCACAGAAATTAAGACAAGAGAAAAAGTTTTATCAGAATTAATATTCCTTACTCTCATGTCCATTCCATCCATACCTGGATCCTATCTCCACATATGACCCTTCCTCTAATCCCCAGGGTCTCCTCTGTACATACATTCCATCACCTGATCCTTCAACTCTGAATAGCTTATATCCTGTGACAATACCTTTAATGCCATCAAATATCAGCATCCAATATTTGAGGGGCTGCCCCAGAGAGGAGGGGGTCAAGCTATTTTCCAAGGCACCCGAAGGCCAGACAAGGAATAATGGATGGAAACTGAACAAGGAGAGATTCAACCTGGAAATAAAGAGAAATTTTCTGACAGAACCATCAACCCATGGAACAGAGGTTGCCCTCAGAAGTTGTGGGAGCTTCATCACTGGAGGCTTTCAAGAAGAGACTGGACTGCCATCTGTCAGAAATGATGTAGGTCCATGATGGTGAACCTAGGGCACGCGTGCCGGAAGTGGCATGCAGAGCCATTTCTGCTGGCACACAGGTCGCCTGGAAGAGCCCCACTGTGCATGCACAGGGGAAGACACGTGTGTGGGAGACATGCATGCGCAGGGGGCAGGGCGCATGGGGGTCTCATGCATGCGCAGAGGCACATGGCGTGGGGGGTCTCGTGTATGTGCAGGGGGGTGGGGGTTGAGCACATTGCATCATAGTTGCAGGCACATGTGCGCGCACTTTTGGCACACGATGTGGAAAAGGTTAGCCATCACTGGTGTAGGGTCTCCTGCTTGGGCAGGGGGGTTAAAATGTGCCTCTGCCTACCAGCATCCATGAAACAGTATTTGCTGTGTGAGCAAGAAGGAGACAGAAAGGAGCCTGGGCATGGCTTAGCTCAACTGTTCTGTACTAAAGCTGGCTGCTGCTGTGAAACTAAAACTGAAAGTCCTGTCTGTGTTTTGCATTTGGAACAGATTTCTTTCCAGGTGGGGAGGGGGAGTAGAACTCCTTAGCATCAGAGCGTGTTAATAGTAATATAGGAAATACTAATGCTCTGGTGGTTATTTCAAAAAATCCTTTCTTATTGAGCACCTAGAAGCCAAGAGGAACATACGTGCCAAATTTCCAGTTTGTAGGCTTTACGGTTCTGGAGATTTTGTGATGATGCGTGAGTGGTCTTTCACTTTTATATAGAGAGATTTGCTATCCATCTCTCAGGTCAGGTGACTCTGAGTGGCTTGTTTCCTGGTTTATTACCTAAAACAGATCGTTGGGCTCCAACCAACTACTGTTCATCCATCAGACACTCATATCCTTTAGAACACTGGTCCCCAACCTTTTTTGTACTAGGGACCAGTTTCACGATTATTCATCCTTTGCGGCCCGGTACAAAATGATCCACGGACTGGTACCGGCATCAGCATGCACGACCAAGGCAAGGCGACCTGAGCGACCGGCCAGCCAGCCGTCCCCCACTTCTTCCCGCCACCTTCAACTCCTCCTTTGTACCTTCTTGTGGTCGATGGGCTTTTCGGGTTCTTTCTTAATCTCCTCCTGAGTAACGCGAGACTCCACCGCCATCAGGACGGCTCTTCGTTCGAAGCCACCACCACCCCTTCCACGAAATTAAGGCGCGAGGATTCCTTCAGCACCCAAACGCCGCTTTCCAACCAACGACCAACAAGCTCACCCGGAAGCACTTTCTCAAGCGCCGTCGAAACAAGATGGCGGCGCCCAAGCAAAGTAGGCCCTAGTTTCATCTTTCATTCTTTGTGGCCTGGTACAAAATGATCCACAGACCGGTACCAGTCCGGGGCCTGGTGGTTGGGGACCCCAGCTTTAGAAGACGGAGGATTCTCACCATTTCTAACTTTTAATCATACTTTTGATTTTCCCCTGGCATTTTCTCCCAGGCTCCGGCAAATGAGAGTGAAATCTCCCTTGCTTCATCACTCTTGTCATTGTTTGTCTTTCTGGCTAAATCTTATTGATTTGATTGTAATGGTTGAGAACTTCTGGAGACATTGAAAGTCAGGGTTTAATATTATTATACATACAGGTTTAATATTATTGTCATTGTTTTAATCAACCCTGGCCTGCTGTTGTGCTTTCACATGCCTCTAAGTTCAGATGGATTGCATATACTTAGTTAGACTTAAGTATTCGTTATATGATTCATTCAGCTCGGTATCCTTTGTAATCACTAGAAAATATTACTTTCTGGCCAAGCCTGTGAAAAGATATTCTGTTCAAAGGTAAATTCACTCCAGCTGAGATTGCCCTGGGTTTCTCTACATCCAAAGCAGCCTTCCAGAAGGAGGAATAAAAAGAAGGACTTAATAAAAATTCATTTCATGAAGAGAAGGACGAGGGGGGACACAATAGCAATGTTCCAATATTTGAGGGGCTGCCCCAAAGAAGAGGGGGTCCACTTATTCTCTGAAGCACCTAAAGGCAGGAGAAGAAACAACGGGTGGAAACTAATCAAGGAGAGAAGCAACCTGGAATTAAGGAAAAACATCTTAACAATGAGGACAATTAACCAGTGGAACAGCTTGCCACCAGAAGTTGTGGGTGCTTCATCACTGGAGATTTTTTAAGAAGAGAATGGACAACAATTTGTGAAGAATGGTACAGGATCTCCTCCTTGAAGAGGGTTGGACTAGAAGACCTCTAAGGTCCCTTTCAACGCTGTTATGCTATTCTTCTGAATACCAATTCACCAAATGACCATCTTCCTCTGCTCTTTGAGATTATATTCAGATATTTGAATTCAGTTGGACTAGATGACCTACAAGGTCCTTTCCAACTCTGTTAAACTGTAAATCTGTAAAATATTAATAACCGCTAAATCAAAGATAATGAAGGACAGGCAAAATCTTGAGGCCTAAATCTAATTAATAGCTTGGAGAGAGAGTCATTTTGGATGTTAATTACAAGTCAGCTCTTCTCAGAAGCACAGCTGGTAATGAAAAGATGTGAGGGCTTCCTCTGTTAGCTATAAATGCCGGCAAAATTTCTTAGCCTGGTGTAATCTAAGCCAGAAATGCAGATGAATGAAATATCTTCTTTATTTGTGCATCAGCAAGGAGAGGTCCTCAGAGATAGAAAGTTAGCCGATCCATTCCCATCTCTCTTTAGAACTGAACCAGAGTGGGATTCTGCAGAGGGAGTGGACAATGGTGGTTTGCTGAAACCTTTTTTTCTCCTTTCCTTGCAGACGCTCACTGGGAAAGAGATAGAGATTGATATCGAACCGACGGACAAGGTATCAGCCCTCAAAAGAATGGGGTGGGTTTTGATCTTGCTTGGCTATCCTTACTTGTCCTGCTTTGCCTTCAAACATAATTCACCCTCAGCCCCGACGGTCTATATTTGTAGAAAGAGAGGAAAGTCTGTATTTGGAGCTTCTGTGTAAAGTAGGGGGAACTCCTCCTCCATGGCCCCACCCCTTCTTTCTATAATCTTTATAAAGCCTTAGTAAGGCCACACCTGGAGTCCTGCATCCAGTTTTGGTCATCAGATTACAAAAAAAAGATATTGAGACTTTGGAAAAAGTTCAAAGAAGAGGAGCTAAGATGATTAGGGGGCTGGATAATTTAATTTAAATGAGGATAATTTAATGTAATCTAAGCAGGGCATACAAATTGAATGCTTCTGAGATGATTACTGGAGATTAAAACATACAATGAATGATTGCAGGAACTGGGTTTGGCTAGTCTAGAGAAAAGAAGGATTAGGAGGGACATGAAAGCAGTATTCCAGTATTTGAGGGGCTGCCCCAAAGAAGAGGAGGTCCACCTTTTCTCCAAAATGCTTGAAGGCAGGACAAGAAGCAACGGATGGAAACTCATCAAGGAGAGAAGCAACCTGGAATTAAGGAGAAACTTCCTAACAGTGAGGTCAAGTCACCAGTGGAACAGCTTGCCACCAGAAGTTGTATTTGCTCCATCACTGGAAGAGACTGGACAGCCACTTGTCTGAAATGCTACATAGGGTTTCCTGGTTGAGCAGGGGGCTGGACTAGCAGACCTCCAAGGTCCCTTCCAGCTCTTTTCTGATTGATTGATCTCCAGATAATTTCAGGGAAGGGGATTTAGCCAGGATCACAGAGAAACCACCCCATCCATAGCCCCAAAGGTGCGTTCACCTGGATGGGAATCCCAGCCACTTTCCTAAGCCCTCCATGTAGTTCCTGGAGAAGCTCTTCTGACAATGATCAGATGTTGATGGCCTACACAGTAGCAGCTTTGCAAAGCGGCCATAGGTTGGAGAGAAGATGCTTGGGTGTTTTCTTGGAGAAGAATCAAACATTACAGCAATGATTCTCAATCTTGGGAAATGGAAGATGGGTGAACATCAATTCCACCCATCTTCAAGTGGTCAAGCTTAAGAAATACAGTATGTTACAGGGGTACTGAGGCTTTCTGAGTTTCAAAGCTTTGTGAATTTGCCATGTGGTCCTCCCAGGCATGAGCCAAACATCTAAAATTGTTTTTCAAACTTAGCCACTTAAAGATAAATGGCAGGCTGGCTAGCTGGGGAATTCTGGGAGTTGAAGTCCACCCATCTTCAACTTGAGAAATACAGTATGTTACAGGGGTGCTGAACCTAACCCTAACCCCCTGTTACTTGTTACGGGCCTTCCCTCCTCCCAATGGGTGGTAGTTAATAGCTGTTCTATGGGGAAATTGACCTTACTCTCTTTTTTTCCCTTTCTCTGTTTCTTTTCAGGTGGAAAGAATAAAAGAGCGGGTGGAAGAAAAGGAAGGCATCCCACCTCAGCAGCAGCGACTCATCTACAGTGGCAAACAAATGTGAGTTTCAACCAGGGAGTTTGTCACGCCAGTATAGTTTTTTATGCTGTTTTTTTTAGCAGGAGGGACATGAAAAAATTTGAAAAAAGTCCATCAAACAAAACCAAGCCGAGAATGCTTTGAAAAGCAAGGGAGTCGCAGTTCACAGCCTTCCCTTCAAAGGAGCAGAGTCATTAGGGAAGCGGAGGGAAGTCGGAAGTCATGATCACATGAGGTCCTCACTTAACGCCCTGCACGGTCCTCATTTAACAAGGGCAACTGGGACCTATCAGGATTGCTGTTTCTCTTACCCATGCATTCAGGTGAACATCCCGCTTTACGACTGCATTGCTTAGTGACAAATTCTGGTGCCCATGCCGGTCATTAAGTGAGGACTACCTGTAATTTGACCCTGCTGAGGCTGGAGTGACAAGTCTGGATTGATTCATTTCATGAAATCATTAGCCATCCAAGAAAACCTATCCATTCCTCCTTTATATATAATAATTTCCTCTAATCCGCTACAATTTAACAAAACCCAGAAACGAAAATTGAAATAACAATAAGAATATTTTTCTTGGGTGGCCCTAAACATGTTCTGGGAATTCACATTTTTCTGTGCAGATTCTTTGATAAGATCAATGCAGGCACTCCTCCACTTACAACAATTAATTTAGTGACCGTTTGTAGTTACAACAGCACTGAAAAAAGTGACTTATGGCTGTTTTTCACATGACCATTTTTCACACAACGTTGCAGCATCCCCGAGATCACGTGATCAAAATTCGAACACTTGGCAACTGACTCATATTTATTATGATCGCAGTGTCCCCGGGCGGGTTCACGTGATCCCCTTTTGTGACCTTCCGACCTACGAAGTCCAGGGGGAAGCCAACCGTGCTCCCATCTTAACAACTGCAGTGATTCACTTAACTGTGGCAAGAAAATGGGGCAAAATTTCACTGAACAAATGTCTCATTTAGCAACATAAATTTGGGGGCTCAGTTGTGGTTGTAAGTCGAGGACCCAAAATAGGAACCGCCACATACCTGCCATTTAAAAGACAATCAAAAGTCAAGGAAACAAAACAACCACCCTGAAGACATTTTCCCTCACACCCAACACCCAGATATGGAGTAAACAGGACCAGATAAACAATTAGAAGAAAGATCATTTTGTCATCAAGGAAGAAACCTCACCCTGATCACAACTGACCTGGCAACCAGCCAACTTCATTCCCCCAATCCTGATGACATTCCTGTCAGGGTTCCAACGGATGCCCTAATTCATGAGCCTCGAGCCAAGTTTCAAAAGAAATCCAATTATTTATTAGGAGCAACATGTTGGCACTTTCCCAAGTGCAGTCAGCTCTGTCCCATGTAATTTACTGCCCACCTATGACCCTGTTTCCTCCCTCTTCCCAGGGTGTACCATAAATCACATTCTCCAATGGAGCACTTTCACGGACTGTAGAAAACACTGCCTCTCCGGCTAGTTCTAGTAACCTGGGATACAATCTGGAGAAAGGTATGCGTGGAATGTGCTTCTGGTCATAGCAACCAAGCTGCTCCATTAATTCTCCTGCCCTCCTGCCTTTGGCAACTTGAGAGCAGGCCAGGAATGCTTTACAAGTTGACAGTTCCCTAGCTTAGTAACGAAACATCTGGAGGAAAACCCAAGGCTCAGCCAATCCCAAGAACCCAAAAGTTCAGCTCTAATTGTCAAAACAATCTAAAACTCGCTCCGAAGATATACAGACAGTCCTCGGCTTACGATCACAATTGAGCCTCAACATTTACCCGGTTCAGTGAGGCATTGATTAAGTGAGTTTGTCTCCATTCTACAACTTTCCTCAACACGTTCGTGAAGTGAATCGCTGCAGTCAGTTGCCAAACGTCTGAATTTTGATCACACAAACATGGGGATGTTGCAACGGTTTTAAGTGTGAAACATGGTCATAAGTCCCTTTTTTCTGTGCCATTGTAACTTTCAACAGTTATAATGGGAAATGTTGTAAGTCGAGGACTTCCTGTAAATGAAATTTTTGCTTAATGCCCTTATTTCTTGGAGTGGAAAATCTGAATTCTCTAACTTGATGCTATTGATTACATTTTCTCAAGTTGAATATCAATCATCTTTTAATGACCACAGAATGCCTTGTGGGGTGGAGTCTAGGCAACTGAAAGGAGCTAGCAGAGTGTTTTTAATGGCTGGATGCCCTTCCTGTTGCCAATGCAGAGGTTTTTTTGTTCATCAGATATATTCTCAATGTGCCCAGAGAGAGAAATATCTGCCTCTATCTAGGATCGAACTCACAGCCTCCTGATTGTGAGGCGAGAGCTCCTCCTCTAGGCCGCCGCACCACTCCAAGTTGAATATAATCAATGCCTTATTGAAATCAACACATGTCCAAATTCTGAGTCAAGCATGTTATTTTAATGAGTAATTCATGTTAAAAGATTGGATTTATCTTGCCAGTTAAAAGACTTTTTGAAGAATCGGGCAATTCGGGATCAAATTGGTCCTTTTTTTTCTCAGACCACACCCCCTGGCCACCAGATTTCTAATGTACCCTGGCAATGATATAAGAGTCCAGATCCCCAAAATTGGGGTTCACCCCCTGCTTTTGTCTCCCCCACAGGAATGATGAGAAAACAGCTGCCGACTACAAGATCCAGGGCGGCTCCGTCCTTCACTTGGTCCTAGCCTTGCGTGGAGGCCTGTGATGATGGTGCCCCTAGCCCCACCATACCACCCCCTTTTCCCCAAAGGCCCCGGATGTGGGTGAGCCTCACCCCCCTCCCTTGAGGCGTCATTTGAAGCCCATTGGGTTCAAATCCCAGAAGGACTGCCTGCCATCTCTGCCTCCTCACATCTGTTTATTTGCAAGCTGTCATTTGAGAGAGGTTGGGGGGATTGTGTTTTGGGGGAACGGGGTGCTCTTTTAAGTTATCAGGGTGCAGCCTCCATCTGGCTGCATGTGGATAAGGATGCATCTGCTGTTTTTCACCACCTGGGTTCCAAAATCTCTTTCCCCGTCATCCCCATCATGTCATGGTCAATAAATGTTTCACAACCGTCATGGCATCTTTTGTGTCTCGTGGGGTCTGGAGGGTTTTCTCGTGTGTGTGTTGATTCGGATCGCCTTTGCTAAGTCCTCGACATACAACTGTAATTCTTAATTTACAACCGGTCGCTTAGGAACGGTTTGAAGCTAAGACGGAGCCCCCCCAAAAGGTACTTAAGACCAAGTTTTGACACACACACACACACACACACCCTGCCACATCGCCATTTGTGCGCTCAACAACTAGCCTTCCATGACTGCCATTTTCTGTGTCTCGTGGTCACATGACCACAATTTAGGATATTGTTTCGGGCCAGAAACTGGCATTTTACATCTGGTTTCCAACAAATGTCCATTGCAGGCAGTTGGTTTGCTTAACCTCATGATTCACTTAACGACCATTGCAAAAAAATAAATAAAAATCCTGTACGGTCCTGTGGTGAGCTGCTTAACAACCGACACACCTTAATCATAATTCTGGACTCAAATTATGGATGTAAGTTGAGGACTACTAACATTTGAGTGGAGAAAGTTAAAATATTCATATTTTCATCAGGTCGATAAAATTTTGGTGGAGACCCACATCCAAGTTTAACTTCTCTTAAAAAAACCCCTTTTTTTACTTTTTTATTTATATCCTGCTTTTGCTTTATACAATTCCAGGTGTTTTTATTTATTTTTAAAAATGTACATCCTGCGTGACACAACCTTCAGCAACTCACATGATGTTCTCGCTTGTATCTTCCATGACAACAAGGCAGTGAGGTGGGTGGGGCTGAGCACCTGGTCAAAGGCATCCAGCTGCTCTTTGTGCCTAAGGTGGAACTAGAACTCACCGTCTCCTAGTGATTGGCCCAAAGTCACCCAAGCGGCTTTCATGAATAAAGTAGGACTATAATTCAGTGTCTCCTGGTGATTGGCTCAAAGTCCCAGCTGTCTTTCTTGCCTAAGGCAGGACTAGAACTCCCAGTCTCCTGATGATTGGCCCAAAGTCCCCCAGCCGGTGTTGAGGTAACTCCCCATTAGGAGAATGAGCACATACAGGGAGACGTAGTGAGAGTAGTGAAAAATAACACACAAACAGCACACACATACACTGTACAATAAATGTAGGATTTTACTTTTCATAAACGTTTTAGCAAAGTCCAAGATAAGCAGTTCAAGTCATTCACAGGTAAAGCAGTCAGTGTTCAGTTGAGGGATAATCCAAATATCAAAGTCCAGTATCAAAAAACAGTTCAGTAACAGACTTACATCAACGAACAGTAACAATCATCAGGAGAAACGGCAATTCTCTTCCAACAGAAGAAACAGAGACTCACTGAGACTAAACAACCCAGGTTTCTGGCTCCATCTTATGGCCATTTGCAGAACCACACCCAATTACAGTTTTAGCATTCTCTTAAAGAATGTCTATCCTAGTTTATATATTTCCAACCCAAATAACTGTTAGGTGACTTACATTCCTAACAGCCGGCTTTCATGCCTAAGGCAGGAGTAGAACTCACTGTCTCATGATTGGCCCAAAGTCACCCAGCTGTCTTTCTTGCCTATGACAGGACTACAACTCACCATCCCCTGGTGATTGGCCAGTCAACCAGCTGGCTTTTGTGCCTAAACTGAGACTAGAACTCACTGTCCTCTAGTTGTTGGCCAAAGTCACCCAGCTGGCTTTCATGCCTAAGGTGAGACTAGAACTCAGCGTCTCCTCATGATTGGCCCGAAGTCACCCAAGTAGCTTACTTGCCTAAGGCAGGACTAGAACTCACCGACCCCTAGTGATTGGCCCAAAGTCACCCAAGTGGCTTTCTTGCCTAAGGCAGGACTAGAACTCAACTTCTGGTGATTGGCAAGAGGCTAGCATATAAACAGTGAACCCTCCTCTCACATTAATGATATTCCCTCCTCCTCCCTAAACCCCACACTCCCCTTAGCACTGACAATGTTCCCTAGTCAGGTCATGAAATGTCTGCAAAAAAACCAAGCTCAGAGAGCCCCAAGGACCCCACAGTCCTCCTCCCCTCCCACCCACTCCCCTTAGCTCTGATAATGTTCCCTAGTCGGGTCATGAAACATCTGCCAGAAAACCACTCAGCTCAGAGGGCACCAATCACACACCCTCTCCTTTCTTTAGCGACCATTCCAAGTTACGATGGACGTGCTAGAAAGGCAGGGAGGGCTCCAGCAGCCCAGCTCTATCTCCTTTTTTTTTCAGTATACGTTTTATTTTTATTCACAAACATTTTTTTAAAACAGTTTTATTAGTTTTTCAAAACAAACAAAACAAACAAAACATAAAAACATCCAGCTTTCTTTGATAAATATACAGTGTGTCGGTTGGTTTACCAGTTTTTTTGTGCATCCATTTCGTCCCAATTACAGTTACATTACATAATAACTCATATTATCAATCAAAAATTATATACCCTAGTATCACTATTATACAATCATTTGACTATGATTTTATTCATTCATACTTTGCAAGATAACTATAATTTACTTAGTTTATTTTATAACAAATCATATAATCATGCCAAATCTATCCTAAAAACATTTTATAAATATGATATCAAATAAAAAAGAAAAAATATATATATATTCATTATTATCTAAAATTCTAGATATTCTATTTATTGTGTTTTATCATCCAACCATTGATAGAAAAGGTCCCAAATTTCATAGAATTGTTTATCCTCTTGTTCTCTAATTTCAAATGTCAATCTACTCATTTCAGCACATTCCAATATTTTCTTAATAATTTCTTCCTGCGATGGTATTTTCTCATTTTTCCAGTTTTTAGCAAATACAATCCTAGCCGCTGTTAATACATTTTCAATCAAGTATTTCAAATCTTTACTATATGTATCAGGTAAGATTCCCAATAAAAAGATCTCTGGTTTCAAGTCTATGTGTTTCTTTGTCATTTTTTCCAACCACATGCGAATTTTAGTCCAGTATTTTCTAGCGTCCTCACAAGTCCACCACATATGGTAATATGAGCCAGGTATCTGATGACATTTCCAACATTTTTCAGATTTATTCTTGAACATTCTTGCTATTCTTGTCGGGGAAAAGTGCCACCTGTAAAACATCTAATACAAATTTTCTTTATAAGCTGTTGACATTGTCATTTTATAATTTTGAGACCACAATTTTTGCCATTTCTCTAAATCAATCCCATATCCAAAATTCTTCCCCCAAGCAATCATAGTTTCTTTAACTTGTTCTTCCTCTAGTTTAATTTCCAGTAAATAACCGTATAATTTTTTAATCACCTTTTCATCAGTACCTGTCAAAATCTTATCTAAATCAGTCAATTTATCATAAAATCCCTCTGTTTTAAAATCTTCATCATACCTTGAGTGTATTTGCGCATATGAAAACCATTTCATCTTTATTCCTTGTTCCTCTAAGTTTTGCATCGATTTAAGTTCACCCTTTTCATCCAGTATTTCCCCATATCTAACTGTTTGTTCCTTCTTATAAATTATAGGATAGGAAAATGCTTCAATGGTCGATAACCAAACTGGAATTTTCAAATAACATTGTTTTTTTATCTTCTCCCAGTTTAACCACAAAGACTCCCGTATATGATGTCTTCTAAAATAGCCCTGTGTTTTAGTTCCCTTATACCATAGAAAAGCATGCCAGCCCAACAACAAATCATGACCTTCTAATGTCAACAATCTAGTCTTTCTTAGTGTTATCCATTCCTTGGCCCACATCAAATTTGCAGCTTGATAGTACAACTCCCAATTAGGCAAACCAAAACCTCTAATTCTGGCATCTTGTAAAAGTTTTAACTTTATTCTCGCTTTCTTACCTTGCCATATATATTTCAACACAATTTTATTTAAATCTTCAAAATAGTCTTTTCCAAGCCTAATTGGTATTGTTTGAAACAAGTATAAGATTCTGGGTAGAATATTCATCTTGATTGTAGAGATTCTCCCTATTAATGACAATTGTAGATTTTCCCATTTCTTCAAATCTAACGCTATCTGTTGTTTAAGTTTAATATAATTGTTCTCTTTTAATGTACTACATCTTGGTGTCAAATATATCCCCAAATACTTGACCTTGTTCGTAACTTGAATTTTCAATAGATCTGCCAGTTCTTCTCTTTGTCTTAGTAACATATTCTTTGTCAAAATCTTTGTTTTATCTTTATTTATTTTCAGACCAGCCACCACACCATATGTCTCTATCTTTTCCAATAATTTTGGAGCTGTTTCTAAAGGATCTTCCAAAATAAAGGCCAGGTCATCTGCAAAGGCTTGCAATTTAAATTCTTCCTTTTTAATTTTCATTCCTTTTATGTTTTTATCATCTCTAATATTTCTATTCAACACTTCCAAAGTCAATACAAATAGCAAAGGTGATAGAGGGCATCCTTGTCTTGTACCTTTTCTTATATTAATAGAATCTGTAAATTCTCCCTCTATTATTACCTTTGCCGTTTGCTTATAGTATATGGCTTCTATTGCTTGGATGAATTTTCTGGCAAAACCCACCTGTTCCAATAATAGTAACATAAATCTCCAGTTCACATTATCAAATGCCTTTTGGGCATCTAAGAATATCAAAGCCATTTGCTTTTCGGGATGTGCCTCATAATATTCCGAAGTGTCCAGGATTACTCTCATATTGTCTTTGATTTGTCTCTTTGGCAGAAATCCATTTTGATCTGGATGAATAAACTTATTTAAGTATTTTTTAAGTCTTTCTGCCAAAA